GACGTTTCGGAGCATTCAACGACGGCATTGAATTTACCGACGTCTAAAAGCGAAGTAAAATTGAAGAAAGACGACGGTATTGTGAAACAGTTATTAACGATATCACGTCAGATAAGCATAAAGAGCCGATATGTAATTACAAATAACACGACTCCAGTACCATAATACCGACGTCTAAAAGGACAGATATCGAACCTGTACATTACAAAAGACGACGTCTTAGATCATGAACTCGTCCGTAACAAATAAAAAATCGTCGTCTTAAAATTTTACCACGTCGCTTGTTATATCAAAAACGAAGTAAAAAATAAACAATTCACGACGTAAGTTGATATCCAGAGGTAAATTTGTCGACGTAAAAAGATATTTGGACGTCGTTCTTTTACAAAAACAACGTTATATGGAATATCCACGTCTCTTTTTTTATTCTTATGTCGTTACATATATTTTCCACGTCGATTGGCTGAAACACGGCTGTCTTTTACATGATCATCACGACGTTGTATATAAAATACTATGACGTTTATAGAAATAAATATGTCATAAGTCATGAGCCTAACATATTTTCCATGTCGTTTATTTTATATACAATGAAGTGAAAAAACCATTTCACGACGGTTATTAAAATATATGCGACGTCGTAATTTTTAATAACGTCGTATTTTATTTGTTTAAAGACGTAGTATATTTATATACACGACTGTGTTTGTATAAAATAGGTCGTCTATTCTTATCTTTGACAATTTTTTGGCTCATTTTTCAGTATACAGACGTCGGTTTTTTTTGTTAATGACGTTGTTTGTTATAACAACGACGGTGATTTACCCTAACCGCTATTTCCACGTCAATATTAATGGAAAAAACGAAGTGGAAAAATCATTTCACGACGGTTATATAAATATATCCGACGTCGTATATTTAAAAACATCGTATTTTATTTATTTAAAGACGTATTGTATTTATTTACACGACGGAGTTTGTATAAAATAGGTCGTCTATTCTTATCTTTGAAAATTTTTTGGCTCATTTTTCAGTATACAGACGTCAATTTTTTTTTGTTAATGACGTTGTTTGTTAGAACAACGATGGTGATGTACCCTAACCGCTATTTCCACGTCAATATTAATGGAAAAAACGAAGTGGAAAAACTATTTCACGACGGTTATATAAATACATTGGACGTCGTATGTTTAAATAACGTCGTATTTTATTTATTTAAAGACGTATTGTATTTATTTACACGACGGAGTTTGTATAAAATAGGTCGTCTATTCTTTTCCACGACAATTTTTTGGTTCATTTTTCAGTATATAGACGTCCGGTTTTTTTTTGTTAATGACGTTGTTTGTCATAACGACGACGGTGATTTCGCGTCGTGACTTTACTTTGCAAAAGATGTCGGTCGATTTTACGATGGTTTGAAAACCCGATACACGACGGTGAATTTCCGTCGTCTTTTGCCTTTTTTGTAGTAGTGTGGTGTGGTCAGGAACCGAGCCGACATGCGTGGTTGGCATTTAGAAGGGGCTGGATGGTCACTTTTGCCACATAACTAGCAAGGTCCACGTGTTCCATTCTCATTAGACAGACGGGCTCGGGTTATACCGACCACAAGTATATTGCAACCGTGGCATAGTAGTTTCTCTCTTGTATATCGCGCATTGGATTCATGAAACATTGATGTTATTTTTCATTTTAAAGTTATCATATTCATTTTCATACATTCTATGATGCACAATTGGCAAATATAGAACTCAGTTAGAGCGGGGGAACAGAATACAATACCCAGGATCTAATGCATCAGTTTAATGTACAGTTGGCACATAATACACTTTACACGTTGGCAAGTATATAATTCACACACGTTGGTAGAAAAATGTATACTTGACAGTTGGCACAGCTATGTACTTTACACGTTGGTGTATTCGTGTGTAAGTCGCGTATGACTGCCTCCATTTGCCACATACTTCACACTTGGGCCTACAGAACTGACAGTTGATACAGTTGACAGTTTTGTGCGTACTTTCTCCTACGTTGTATGAAGAAATACGTACATTAATTGCTTTGTTGGGGAGTTATGGTAGATTTTCCAGCTCTCCAATTTACAGTTGACAGCCCCAGACGGCCCACACGTCACACAATGAGATATGCTGGCCTACAGCATTTGTCTTTCCTCAGATGGGTTCTGATTCATTGGGCTAATTCCAAACCTCTAGGCGCCGTCCAAATATGATGACTATTTGGGGCATACAGTACCTGCTCATGCCTTTTTTCTTTCCGTAGGGTTTGTCCCCATTTTTTGTTTGTTTTAAACACAATCCGCGGATAAGGTATGAAATTCTTATTTTCTTCTATCTTTTTTATTTATTAGTTTATTTTTTTTAGTATAAGCGATTGGGGGGTTTTTGTACGTATTTGTATAATATGTCATGTTAGAATTGGCCTATTCATGAAAAGCGCTTACATAAACATTCATTGGGTGTCTGGGGGTTTCGAACCTCTACCGACATGTAGATAGAGGTGGAAGAGCTCAACCAACTGAGTTATACCCACTAGCTAAGGTATGAAATTCTTGGTATTCTTGCCCTATTGATATAGTGCTTGCAAGAATTTTTTTCCTTCGGAAATTTGGAAAACCAATCTCTGTTTAATAGGGGCTAAAGCCCACTCAGAGCCTTATTTTAACACATTAAAGGCTATTAACGGTTATGATTTAGAAGTATATCGACTTGAAACAAAAAGTTAAGTCTTTAATATTGCAAAATTTAGCTATTTTTCATAATGTTATTTTCTTTATTTTTATTATTTTGTGGGGAAATAAACTATTACGTACTATTCATATCCCCAAGCAACCAAGTTGAGTGTTGAACATGTTTCATAGAAATACCACAGGTAAGAACTAGTGGGGAATTTCATAGAAATAGCAGTTCCGAGCACTGAGTTGATCCCCCCTAATTATTCCCGTGCCATAACAAATGGGGAATTTCATCAGCAGCATGTGAGGGGAGAGGTGTGCCTTGATCCCTGTGAGTGCCGTTCAGCCAATTATGACGTTGTACGCCATTGGGCAATCGACAATGAGGAATTGGTCGTACACCATTGTCTTCCTCGGGGCAACGCCGAAGGCGACGGGTAGGTTGACGTTACCGATTGGTTGGACCAAATCTCCCGAAAAGCTAAGGAGGGGTGCTAATTGCCGATTGATCTGGCTGTCATTTATCCCCAATTCTCCGAATGCGTCGGCAAAAATGACATTTACCGAACTCCCAATGTCGATCAAGACCATTCCGACGTCAAATTCGGCTATTTCGGCTCGGACAATCATGGGATCGTCATGCGGGTAAAGGACCCCTTCTTCCTCCTCTTCGTAGAACGTTATGGGTTCCCACCTCACCTTCGGCATTTTTGTATGCCGGCTGCTCTCGATGCCGAGGACTTGGGGATATTGAACTGCCCTGACGTACTGTTTCCTCGAGCGGTTGGATATACCTGCTAAGGTCAGTCCTTCGCTAATAGTGCTGATCATGTTGATCTGCCGATTTGCGTTTTGGGCAAGTGCCTGTTAGGGCCTGGCGATGTACTGATCCAACTTGCCTTCCCGAATCAACCGCTCAACGATTTTTCGTAGGCTTATGCAGTCTTCTGTGTTGTGACTGTTGTGTTGATGGTATCGGCAGAATTTTCTAGTGTCTCGGTTGTCCTGCCGATTAGGTTTCCGGTTGACGGGCTTCGGTATAATCTCCTGCTCGTTCATGAGAACAGCCTCGTATGAGGTGTTAAGCAGAGTGTAGACTTCTTGCCCTTGGCCGTGGTTCGGCAGTGGCGCACAGTGGTCGTTGCGGCCGAATCTCCCCTTTCCTTTCTTGTAGTGTTCCTGCCGAACACCTCCATGTGAATCCTTCCGTTTATGCCCTACCTGATACCCGCCATTTTTCTCAATAGTGCCGTACGGCTTTTCTTGTGCCGAATACTTCTGTGGTACTGGTTCCTCCTGCCGAGCCGAAGGCCCGACCTTTGAGTTGAAGTATTCGGCCTTGGCATGGATCGTCGCTTGTTTCATCAACTCGTTGTAGGTACGCCAATTGCTACTGTGTACCAAATACCAAAAATGTGAGGACCGAAGGCCACTCTTGAAGGCGCCGAAGGCCGCCTTGTCATCAGTTTTCGGGCACCTGGAATACTCATGGCTGAAACGAGCAGCGTACTCTCGAAGGGGCTTGTCTTCCCGCTGCCGAACGGTGTACAAGTCGTCGGCAGAGTACAACCTGTCAATTAGATACATGCTTGGTTGTTTAAATTGTTCTTCTATGCTTAATGGGTTCCTAATGCTTAATTTTAGGTTAGGCAACAAATGATCAAATTAGGGAATTAGGAACACAAGGTTATGACCACACACCATGGCTTAATCATACTTTAGCTAGAACCAATCCATTAATCTAATTGAACTTGGGAACTTATTTGCTTGAGTTAGTTATTTCTTTCTTCCTTATTTTATTTATTTCCTTTCTTTTTCATTTCTGTTTTGTGTAGGGAAACTAAATTGGATCATTCAATCACCAATCCCTGTGGAATCGACCTCGCACTTACATACGCTAAACTACCAACGGTTCGTGCACTTGCGAGTATCACAAGTTGAGGATGCAGCTGAATCCATTTTGGTGCAGCTGTATCGACGCAACAAGTTTTTG